GTTTTTGCCGCTTAGCAGGCTTTGGTGTTTGGTTTTTTGTTTTAGTTTTTTTCGGTTTTTTGGTCTTTTTTTGCTTTGCATGTGCTTGGTAAGATTTCACCTGCAGCATTATAACAGAGCTCTACAGCGACAGAGCTTCCTCTCTCCTCAAGCAGGGCTGCAATTCATTTTATTTTGGGGAGAGCCAAGTAACAACTGAATAATATGTTCTCTAAGCCCCATGGTTGTGCCGTCATCTGTGTGCCTGTGTGTCCCCTGCGTGCAGGGCCAAGTCGTCCATCAGTTGTCTGGAAGGTTGAGAACAACTTGGAGATGCTGCTAACCCTCTGCTGCTTATACAAGATAGTCTTTGTTGTCTGTTCTGCAGGGCAAGAACAAGAATATTTCATTTGGTGCTGAGCAGGTCGTCCATGCTGCTAAATACCATGATAAAAATGAAACTTTTTCCCCTCTGCCTTTCTCCTATCAGCTTCTGCTAATGAATTGATTTTGTTGGTAGAATCATATTGCTGAAATGCAAGTGCACTGACTGATGGTAACAGGTTTAATGTGACTTAGGAGCTTTTAGTGATGTTTATCTTCAGCACACGTATCTTGGCATGCTCTTGGTTAAGTTGTGCATAAACCACTGCCAATGTCCCTTTTACGCATTCTTTATAAGAAACACTGTATTTTGTTTTATCTCGAGCTTGCCTTAGGACACTACTGCTAAGCTTCCATTAAATCTGGTTGCTGTCAGCTGGGATATGTAGTTTGGATCAGAAAACACCTTTTGAAAAGTAATTTAGAAAAGCTAATCCATCTGTTGTGACTTGGATAGGTTAATGTGGAGCTCTGGTAGCTTGGCTACTCTCTTAGCTGATTCACAGGCCTCAGTTGGCTTAAGATTTTAACTCCTGGGAAGGATAATTTGGAAACTTGAAGCTACTCAAGGGAATAAGCAATGGGAATAAAGTTTTACCTGTTATAAATGGTATGTCTTTTTCAGGTTGGAGTTTGACCCCCATGTGAAATAAATAGAACAAGTAGCGTGGTTTGCCAGCAGTAGCCTGTAATGTTAGCCACAAAAATCATCAGAGAAGGCAGAAGTGGCCCAAACTTTTTTTTCCAGATCTTATAGTTTTAAGTGCTGTTGATTCGTGCTCAGAAGGCTTAGACATATTCTTAAAATAGCACTGATAACTATTGAAAATTTATATTGATAGAGTTCATGTAATTGTAAGTCAGGTTCACAAGCTGCTGTGTGAGCTGTGTTGCATTTTTAACTCAAATGGTGCAGTGGTAATTTTATGAGATAGAAGAACCTTCCAGTCTGAGGGCTGCAAGAAAAGGTCTATTCTGAAACCTAACATAGGGCTTTAGAAACCTAACCTTGTAGTGATAACTTTAATTTTCAGGCACAGCTAATTTTGTTTATGAACAAAAGGTGTTGCCACCCTTTGACAGTATAATGTGCAATAGCAGAATTGCAGCCTTTGTTTAACCAAATGGTACCTTATCTTTCTAACAGCAGAAGTTCTCACTTCTATACAGTCCACTGAATTTGGAAAAAATTACTTTTTTAGTCAAACATTTTGAAATGTCGCTCATAGATAGAGTTATTGCACCCACTTGTGGAGGAGATCAAAACTACAGAAGCTGTGATAGATTAGTCTTCCTCTCTTGTTTTTACTTGTTTTAGTGATAATTCAAACCACTGAAGCTGTGTAATTTTTTGTTATTTTCAGTCGCAAGCCACCCTTGAATCTCTCCACTGTGAAAGAGAGCAAGCTGTGTTGAAAAAACTTTCTGCCATGAGATGAGGTTCTAGTATGCATTTGTAACTGGTATAGGTAAGTATTAATACTGTTGTACAAACCATTACTATAGCTGCTTGTGGGATTTAGGGTACAAATTGTGGTAATCTGCATTTGAGGAAGATACACTGATACTTCCAAGTTTATGTAGAAGGATTAGTATGGTCAATGGAACAGGATTTCATGTGAGGGGAGACTGAAAGAAGAGGACTTATTCAGCCTGATTGAAAAAAAAAAAAAAAAAGTTTAACAAGGATATGGTTCACTGTCTACTCTCTTGATATGTTTATATTGTCAATCAAAAAGGCTATAATTCTTTCCAAACATAGGAGGTGGATTTGTTGTAGCTAGATATGTGAGGTTTTTATATTTTTAAAGCTGGATACTTTGGGTATCACACAGAGCCTCCTTTGACTGTTTCCTCTGGATTACTCTTGGAACTGCTATGCTGGGCTGCGCTTCTTTTGCGTAAGTTTGGTGGAAAGCCTGATTTTGTATTTTAGGGTCACAGCATGATACCATGGCCCTTGTCCAGCTACAGCTCTTAAATCCTCAGTGAAGAGAGTTTGAGACATTGCTGGCTCGAGAACAAACTGGTAACAGCTAACTGAGCTAACATGGGATAGAAATTGGAAGATAAGCAAGTGAGGTTCTGGGATGGTTTTTAATTGAATAGTAATAAGGTAGATAGTAAACCTACGTAGTTTAAAGATGGAGCTTCATTGCTTTAAGAAAGGATTATATAACATGTTTTTGAAAGAACAGAATTGGATTTAATAAGTCAGGGTTCTTTTTCAGGATTTATATTACATAAAAACAATTTGAACGATTGATTGGATGACCTATTTCATCCAACAAGACTGTCTTAAGAAAGAGCCTACCCTGTATACATGCTGAGGAAATGGATTTATGTACGTTACTTTTAATACTGCTGATAACTAGAAATATTTTGTACTACCTATTTGTCTTAACTACTTTGTGGAATTAAATGCAAATCTTATATGTAAGGAAGCCGATGTTGCTGCATGCTCTTAAATGTTTCACAAATGGGCAGTAGATGTTATTATAAAAGGATAAAAATGAAGTAAAAAATGAAAGTGCTAAAACTGGGTATGACAGAGGTGGTGATCACTCCCTTTTGGTACTGTTCATTGCTAGAGACACCACAGAGCCTTGCTAAACCCTCACTGAAGTCAACAGAAAGATTCCTGTTGACTTTATGGAAGGTTTACCACCATCAGTGCTAAGACTGATAGAGGTCTTTAAGATTATCTCATCCCTCCTGGTGTTTAAAACTGATTTGCTTCTTTGCACTGTCTTTTTTGCTTATGATTCATGCTGATTTCCAGGATTTCAGTATTACAACACAATATCAGAGGTGAGCTTCCTTGGAATAAGAGTTAGTGTGCTGAAAGCAACCCATAGCTCCACAGTGAGACAGGGGACTAATGGTGAATCTCTAATGCATCATATTTTTCTGCTGCCTGGTGTGCCTTTCAGCTAGAAATGGATTGAGAGAGTGGGCAATCTCATCTTCCTAGGGAGCATTAGGATGCGGGCTGTGGCGTTGAGCTGCAGGTGCAGAGCCTTGCTTTGGGAATGTATTCAAGTGCCTTTTGCACAGTGTTAGCCACGTCGTTCCCAGTAAGAGAGACTGACATGCTTTGGTCACGCTAACTCCACGTGCCACCTAGACTTGCAACACATGGGTGACTTTTTTACCTTGTTTTTTTGGGGGAAGGATTGAGTCATTTATGTGTTTGTCATGTGTGTAAGGTGGAGGTAGGTTCTAGTTCTGAGTCTTTCTCAATAGCAGACACTTTTTACCCCTGAAGTCCTCTTGGTATAAGATTTTTTTTCCACTTTCACAGTGGAGTGTGTAGTCCTGTTGTGGTAATGCTGTGTTGACAGAGCTCTTCACCTAGGTCAGAATGAAACAATTTGACTAAAATGGATCAATTTGGTCTCTGCGTGTGTCCAACCTTTGAATAGTTAAGGAGGGTGTCTTTGGCCAGCACAGCTACTCGGCAGCTGATAGGTCTATGTAAGTCAGGGATTTGACACAAACTTCCACTTCTCATTTGAATTATTTGACTCTGAAACAATCAGGTGGAGCTGAAAATGTGAATTGTGCTTGCCATCACATATCCCTAACTTTCTCCAGCGAGTTTTGTTTGTTAATTTAGAATGCAGAAATGAACCTTTTAACTTTACTCTGAAAGCAAATATTGACTGTGTTTCATAGTAATCTGGACTTTGCACAGGAGTGGAAAAGCCTGACATTCCTGAAAATGGCAGCTGAGACATCCACAGAAGTTCCAAAAACTGCTAGACAATTCGTCCTTAAAGAAGAGGTATAACGTGCTTGGGTTTGACACATGTTTTGTTGTTAAATAACAATTATTTCAGACTGATTAGGATGTTTGTGAGTGCAGAGTAAGAAGTGCTATAGATGTTGTACGTTTGTAAAATCTATTTAGTGGACAAAATACTTCTTCCTGACAGACAGAGAGTTTAAAAAAGGTGGTATTTCTCTTTGTTGAAACAATCATACGAATTATCAATGGGGAGAGAGAAATCTACAGTGTTGTATTATTTTAAGCTTTTTTTTTTTTTTCCCCAGATTTTGTAGCTGATTCTTGTATTGTCTGTTCAGGCTGTTTTCAATGTTCAGAAATAATGCTGATACCTCTAGGAGACTATACAAATTGGTGGATCATGAGACTCAGCCTTGCTTTTTCGTTCATTTAGGACGAACCACTAACAGTTGCCTTGATATTTAGGATTGTACCCTCTTTGATGCTTTCTGAAAGGTTTTGAATTTAGATAATTGCTGTTCTGAACACATTAGTAAGGAAGTAGTAAGATTTTTTTAAATATTGTGCTCGCATCTTCATAGAATCAGAAAATATCAGGTCCTGAGGAATTTGGAGGTACTTCTGGGTGTTCATTAGGAGCACTTTCACCCTAATTTAAACTGCTTGTATTTGTTTCTGTTCTCTTTTAAGTGCACTCTTAAAAGGTAATCTTTGGTGTTAAAGGCAGGTTTGGCAACAGTGTCATGCTGTCGTTATAACAGAAATGTAGTTTCTTTTATCTAGCGTTCCTTGGAACAAACGTAGTGTTGTAATTTCTGTAGGTTTTAAGGTACAAGACTTTTTCAGGAAAGAAGAGACACATTGTTGGGGTATATTTATGGCTTTTCCCCTTGGGTGGTTTTTAAATATGAGTATTTCTCAAGCATAAAGGGTTTCATTTGTGTAAGCTTTTTTGGTTTTAAGACCTGTGCTTTTGCAGGTAATGTTTTCATTTTATTTTTTTTTTTTTATAAGGCCTCTTACTTCTTCTCCTTTGGAATATTGTACTCTTAGATCTTACATATTTTAAGCCATTTAGCTTTTTCAGTCATTTTGTGGGATTAATACAGGAGAGTATTTACTGTGCTTCTGCCAGTGGCCCTTATATATTGGAAGTGGTTCTGTAACTCCTCAGTAACTATGTGGTCTCATGTTGGAATATCTTCTTCCATGAAAGCAGCAGCTGAGCTTATTTCCTTCTTCCTGTTGCTGGGAACCCACAGTCAGGCTGTTGTAAGCAAAAGCAGATGTTATTTGCCCATCAACGTAATAGATAAAGGAATAAAAATAAGTTATTCTAAAATTGGGTATGGTAATTGTAACACATCCTGTATAGTGTTCGTAGGCCCTAAATCGGGGATTTAGCAAAGCAGAAGTTACGCTTCTGTGCCAGCTTCCACAAGTTTTAATTGTGTACCCGATGAGGCAGATGATGATAAAATTCTCTTTTTTCTTCTAGGGAAACCTGGCAACTTTCAGTTTTCTTACCTTGTAGGCTGTTAGCAGCAAGGGTTTCACCCAGCTTTAGAGGATTGTGGAACACTTCCGTTGTAAATGCTACATATCCTATAGTATTTTTTAATTACTGCTCCATGACAGTAGAGGCCAAAAGCTGTACTTAGGAAAACTTGATTAAAATCAGGTTTGACATTGTTCTGTACACATAAAACCTACTTTTTTATTTCTTTTTTTTTTTTCTTTTTGGAGCTTGGATAGGTCTAATTTCTTACAGACTAGGGATTTCTTTTTCCTCTAAGATTCCTGGGGACATTGATGTGGTTCTGATTTCAGCCATTTTCCCCTTAGCAAACAATAACTTGGTGACAGGGGTAACAATCTGCTGGTTCTGTTGAATGCTGCAGCAATATGGGACCACAATCAATAATCTAGTCCTTTGTGTTCTCTACAGTGTTTAAAAAAATTAACACAAAACATTTGACCGTGTTTACTTAACTGAAGTATGTATATTCCTCTCCTTGGACAACCAATGGGACATGATTTTCATCTATTTCTCTTTTGGATCTTCGTATACTCTAGTTTTGCAGTGATTTAGGAGTGAATATGAAGCTATTTAAAACATACCTGAATGCTTCCAAATGGAATTACTACTTGTACCTGTAATGAGCATAATATACTTCATCTTCTCCTTTCCTGCTGTCTTTGTGACCACGAAGCCATTAGAAAGCCCTTTTGAGAACACATAGCTCTCCTTTTCCAATTCCTTTTACGTGGAAGTATTATACTTTCCAAAGTAAATGCCAAAACTCCTACCTGTAAAATACGTGTAGCCACGTTTACAACCATAGCAGCGCTATTGTTATTTCAATTGCCTATCAAAATAATTGTTCTGAAGAACACATTTCAAGAATTACATGAGTTCATCCAGCTCAGTTATAATGTACTGGACACCTGAATCACTTCTGATTTACCTTCTGCCTCCAGCTGATGCTGTACTGTGCTTCTGTATGCTAGTGATAGCTGCATCACATGTTACATGTAATTTCTCTGTACTCTTTTTTTAGTTGGTGAATCTCTCCGTTTTAAATTCAAGATCTGCATGGCCACACAGGCCCCATTTGCTCATTGTCCTGCACTACAGGATTGTAGTGTGTCAACCACCTCTTGCACTTCATCCTTTGCTACAATTTAATGTTGTGGGTTTTTTCCCCAGAGCCTCTTTTTCTCTTGCTTATGCTTGCTCCATTGCTGTTAGCAGTGTGTCTCATTAGACAATAGGAAGTGATTTGTTCATCTTACTGATTACTTCTGATTTCTGTGGTCAGACTTATAGCCAACTTGATACAAAATTCTGGAGACAAGCTTCTTGTTTGCCTATACCTTTAGCAAAGCTTAGAATACAAGTTATATTAAAAGTAGTAAACTGCTGGGCTAATACTTAGGGATTTTTCTCTTTTAAAGGAATTACATAAAAGATGAGGAAATATCATAGGGCAGATAAACTCATTTAGCTCAGAAAAGACATTTTGTAATAATGTTAATGCCAAGCACTCAATCAGCAGCTCTCAGAAATCCTAAAACAGCAGGTATGTATCACTGCTTGCAGTTACAGAAAGCAGCGGTTACGCAAGGCCACAGTCTGAGATCACAACAAGGAAAGTTTCAAAATAGTTTGGTTTTCAGTCTTGCATGCTTAGCTATTAGCCCATGCTTTCTGATAAGTGGGCACTCGTAACCACCAGCATAGCTAAGGTCTGTGCAGACCAGTGATCCTTTTTTCTTTCTCAGCTAAAACGTGACCTTTGCAAAATCCTTCTAAAAAGATGAGGACTTTCCAGTACATAAAATCCCATTGAATTCATTGAAACTTGGTTATACAAGTCACATTAAGGAAAGTTACTGGGCTTATTTTCTAATCCTGTTCAAGAACTTGGAGTAAATGTGGGTTTTTTTCTGTAATAGCTACAGGAATGTTGTTGCATGTTTCTGCACGTATTTTGGTGCTGACATTTTGTCTTCAATACAATCCAAAAATAGTTGTGTTTGTTGTTTCTCCCCTTAGACCCCAAATATCTTTGGGATTAATTTTATTATGTATTTAACAAAGAACTCTTTATTTTAGGTAATTGTAGAAAGAAAATGGTTGAAGCTTGAAGAAACAACTTACACTGATCCCTTTGGTAAAACCAGGTAATTGCCTCTGGCATTTCAGATTCCTATAGTGTTCCCAATGGTACAGACTAGCCCCAGGTTACAGAATATGAGCATTACAAAGCTATTACTCAACACAAGATGAGATCTATTCATTGTACAATTCCTTTATAGTTCAAACCATTCAGAGAAAAAAAAAAAAAAAACAACCAAACCCTTACTCTAGCAGATGTGCTAGCATGTGGGATCTAATTTGGTTCCTAAATCCTTTTGGGCATGTTGGACCCTGGTTTACTTTGTATTTTCCATTCCTTGTAAGGATGCTATGCAGAAGCAAGTTCTAGCTATGCAACAGGACTGTGATAATCAGAGAGTCTATCCCGTGGCTTTTCTGGTTCTTCGTTAAGGGCTCCTTTTTCCCTGCTTGTCCTGGTTTTGGCTGGGATAGAGTTAATTTTCTTCCTAGTAGCTGGTATAGTGCTGTGTTTTGGATTTAAGATGAGAATATTGTTGATAACACACTGATAGTTTAGTTGTTGCTAAGTAGTGCTTAGTCTAAGTCAAGGACTTTTCAGTGAAAATGCTGGAGGTGCACAAGAAGCTGGAGGGGGCACAGCCAGGACAGCTGACCCCAAGTGGCCAAAGTGATATTCCATACCATATGATGTCATGCTCTGTATATAACTGGGGGAGAGTTGGCGGGGGGGGGAGGGCAGTGATTGCTGCTCAGGGACTGGTTGGGCATCAGTTGGTGGGCTGGTGAGCAATTGTTTCTCATTTCCATCACTTCTTTTTTCTTGGGGTTTGTTTCTTTCTCTTTTTATTATTTTCATTACATTATTATTGTTATTATTGTTGTTATTATATGATGATGATGATGATGGATCTTGCATACTACTGACAAGTTACTGTCCTCTTATATATTATCACACCTGCCCAATTCTTTTCTATGCTTTAGTTTTGCGGCATTCATCTAGATGTGACAACACAGCTTTACTTCCCTCCTCTTATTGTATTGATTGCTTTCTGTAGCACCTCCTTCTTCATCAGCAAAGTATCCTTTTAAAAGAAAGCAAAGATCGGAGTTTTTGTGAAAGGACTTTTGTTGCTGCTGGATTTTTGGGTTTTACTCATCCCATTGCTTATTTTGAGAGAGAAGTTTTGGTCTTCCTTGCATACGTGCTCCTCATGTGCTGAAGTAACTGAGCTGAGAGTTCACAATAACTTTGACTATAAACCTTATGCAAAAGCACGGTAACAGATAGAATGCACGTGGTCTTGTTATAAAACTATCTTTCAAAATCTGACATGTTTTATATATTAATTGCTTTATTTTGCACTTTTCCGGGATCACTTTTATAAGATAAGCCTGTTCTGTGACAATCATTTATGTCTTTCTTTTATTTTTAGTGATTTTAATTATTCATTAATGATTTTCTCTCTCCCGCCTTTAAGTAGGCAAAATTATACTACAGACATTTTATAGTGCTGGTACATGACAGTTTGCCTAAGGCCAACTGTTTTCTTACGCGGCCTCACTGTGTGATGGTTTATTTTGCTTTTAAATGACAGTAGGAAAGGTAGAAGACTTACAAATAAAATAGATATTGTTCATTTTAATGTATTCGTTGTTTTCTCTCTTTGTTAAACAGAACTTGGGAAACTGTAAAGCGTACTGGCAACAGAAAGGGCGTTTCAGCTGATGGTAAGACATCCATGACTTTTTTTGTTTGCATTTTTTCTTGTGAAATTCTCCTGATAAACTCCCAGTGCAGACGTAGGGCCGATCTATTTCTGAATGAGCATGTATGTGCAACACATAGCTCAGCAGAGCTTGCTACACCCCTGAGCAAGCCTGCGCTAATGAGATGCTAACTTCGGTGCTGAAGAAGCAGAGCCTTCCTGTAGGAGTGTTTTCCCAAGACCATTGTATTGACTTCAGAACAATGGAGCAATTTCAAAGACACAATGGATGCCCTGATACAAAGTAGCTCAAAGACTAGTGAACTGGGTCTGCCGTTAGGGCAGGGGTACAGTACTCTTTAGGCAAAAGAGGGATGTGATTTGGCCTTGAAGGGAATGTGGGCAAGGGTTTTCTGTACAGTGGCTTCTGAACGGCCTCTGCAGGCAGGAGAGCCCTTCTGTAGATGTTGGTGGGATATGGCTCGGTCTTGTCTGGTACGTGTGCCTCTTGTTTGCTGGAGTACTTTGAAGATCTCGTTTTGGGCTTTTATCTCTCACCACACATGATATAAGGAGTTTAAATTCATAGTTCAGAATTCTGGAGCAGGTACCTAAATGTTTAATGCTCAGAGTAACAGTACTTGGGTTCCTTTCCAGATCTAGCTCTAAATACTCACTTTCTGCTACACTGAAATACTATGAACTTGTGCCTTCTGTCGCTGTTTGTAGGTGTAGCTGTGATAGCGGTACTACAGAGAACTCTCCACTACGACTGCATTGTCCTGGTGAAACAGTTCAGGCCTCCAATTAATGGCTATTGCTTGGAATTTCCTGCAGGTAAGTGACTGAAGCATTAGGATGAGTCACATAAAGCTGACAGTTAAGTGTGTTTAGATGTGCTTGGCGTGTCAATCTTAATGAAGTAGCTCTAACCAGAAAACTGCGCCAGTCTCTGCAGCTCAGTGTGTTACTCAAAAATAATATAATTAAGAACAGAAAATAAACATAGTTCACTTTAGCAAACTGGAGGCATTTTGCACAGTAGTCTGGTAGCAGAATATTGCATTTCCCTCCACTCTTCCTTTCTGTAAGAGCCAAAGCATTTGGCTTCTTTCCCTCATGAGAATATTAACGCCATCTTCTGGGCAGGTGGCACACTGCAGTACATAATCAGTTGAAGACATGGGTAGCAGGATGATGAATCCTGGAACTGGAATCCTTCCTAATGCCTTGGTTTATCCCTCTGTAAAAATAGGGTAGTGAGGATGTTTCATCTCTTCTGTAAAGCTGGATTAGATCTTAGGATGTGTATTGCAGTTAAGTGAAGTGCTAACTTTTTAGTTGTTCTTGTGTATTATTTATCTCCCAGGCCTCATTGAGGAAAATGAGACTGCAGAAAGCGCTGCTTTACGAGAGTTGGAGGAAGAAACTGGGTACAAGGGGGAAGTTGTTGAATGTACTCCAGGTCTTTGCTTTTTTTTTTTTTTCTTTCTTTCTTTCTTTCCCACCCAAAACTAATTCCGTGTCTTACAGATACAAAATGCTTTAAACCAAAGGAAAAATCTACGCAGTTTAGCAGAGTCCCATGGCTTGTACCAATGAGACTTTGGTCCTTGATGAGTCAGCTGCTGAACTCCTGTTAAACATACAGGACTAAAGTAACAATTCGATGTCTATAGAAGAAAAGTTTGCTATTAATTAAGATCCTTTACACAAAGCCCAATTATTCGAGCTGTGATTTGGCATTTTCGTATAAAGGTCTAAATTGCTGGACTTAATGTGAACAACATCCATGAAATTAGATTGAAAAAATAGCTGCGTGACGCAGTCTGAGTGGTGGGGAAGTGACAGTACTCAGGTTCTCCAAGCAGAAAGAAGGAAGGAGAGAATAACTGGAGTAAATCCAGAGATCCTTTGGAATGTGATTGTTGCCAATCCAATGCTTCCTACCTAAAATAAGATGGAGGCAAAATGAGGGTTATAAATAAAACTTGAGAAGGTAGGTAGAAAGGTGAGGCAACTCACATATTATTTCAAGTAAATGTTATTACAGTTGAGACTTGGCTCTTGATTATCAGGTACAACTCTGCTGGGGACAGAGAGATGGAGACAGGTGATGGCAAAATTAGACTTTAATAGGCTGAGGAAGTCTTTAAGGAGTTTACAGGTTAGTCTTCAGTCTATGGAATGGAAAGTAAACCTAGCTGCTCAAAACAAGTCTTCCAGCTCTTTTACAGATTCCTTGTGAGTTACAGAAACATTAAGAACATGTGAAAACAAACTTTTCACAACTCTTCAGCATGATCGTATGCCAAATATGAGATCACAGAATCACAGACTGGTTTGGGTTGGAAGGAACCTCAAAGATCATCTAGTTCCCAACGGACGCCCCTCCACAAGACCAGGTTGCCCAAAGCCCCATCCAGCCTGGCCTTGAACACTGCCAGGGATGGGGCATCCACAGCTTCTCTGGGCAACCTGTGCCAGTGCCTCACCACTCTAACAGTAAAGAATTTCTTCCTAATATCTAATCTAAATTAACCCTCCTTCAGCTTAAGGCCATTCCCCCTTGTCCTGTCACTACACTCCCTGATAAACAGTCCCCACCTTCCCTGTAGGCCCCTTCAGGTACTGGTAAGCTGCAATTAGATCTCCCTGGAGCCTTCTCTTCTCCAGGCTGAACAACCCCAACTCTCTCAGCCTGTCCTCATAGCAGAGGTGCTCCAGCCCTCTGATCATCTTTGTGGCCTCCTCTGGACTCTCTCCAACAGCTCCATGTCTCTCCTGTACTGGGGCCCCCAGAGCTGGACGCAGTACTCCAGGTGGGGTCTCACAAGAGCGGAGTAGAGGGGCAGGATCCCCTCCCTCGACCTGCTGGTCACACTTCTTGTGATGCAGCCCAGGACACGGTTGGCTTTCTGGGCTGCAGGCGCCCACTGCCAGCTCATGTTGAGCTTCTCATCAATCAATACCCCCAAGTCCTTCTCCTCAGGGCTGCAAGTTCTCCTATTGATATTGATCAGACGTATTTCTGTGAAAGCTTTTGTTAAAATGTCAAGGTGCCCAACTTCTGCTTTTGAAAAATTAACCTGTACACGTGCTTGTTGGCAGCTCTCTGCTTGGACCCAGGTTTGTCAAACAGCACGACACACATTGTGAGCGTCACCATTAATGGAGATGAGGCTGAGAATACAAGACCCAAGCAAAAACTTGGTGAGTTTTGTACCATTTATTTGAAAATTGAGAAGATGATAACAAAACAATGGCTTTAAAAGAACTGTCCCTACTACTGCATCTCTTCTCTCCCAGCTGATTTAGATGCTGTATGTCCTGCAGTCTAGATAAGCAGAGCTGTGTTTCTTTGCTGAATTCACTGAGGAGGCCCAGATGTTAAGTGTTGGGTGTTAGCACACCCAGAATGAGAAATTTAGGTGCCAATGTTCAGTGAGGGCCATAAGCACTTGTGAACCTAGATCTTCCTCTTAGTAACTACAGTGTCAGTCAGCTATCGAAATGCTTTTTAGTTGTAAACTCAAGTGTATTTCAAAATCTGTAACTTGCTACTTTTTTGGTTTTTTACTTGCAGATGATGGAGGTATGTTACGTAGCTGTGCTCAGTGACAGTAAGGTCAAGTGTGATCATCTTATGGCAAGTTTTACTTAGAAAATGTCAGTTAAAGCTGTTTTTTATTTGAGCTTAGTTAATCTCCTGACCTGAATCAAACATGCACGAGACCGGCTTTGGCCTAGACATGAAAATGCCTGTGGGGCATTAGCGCATCAGTTATCTTCAACCATTGCACCTACAGCCCCACTATCTCAGGAAATACAAATTACTGAACCCACAACAGCTGTAGATGAAGCCCCAAAGATAAGTAATTCAGATAGACTAGGGAGGTGTAAGGCAACACAAATGCATCAAGAACAACCCCTTTGTCTTTCTGCTATTTTGGTCTTCAAATGTATCTATGGTCCATCACTGTACCAGTATAAGCCAGACAAAAGTCCACTTCAGCAGTGTATCTTCCATTCTCAGAAGGGAGAAGGTCTCCTTTTAGAAGGATTCTCATACTCCATAGCTGTCAGCTACGCTGGTTTTCCCAGCTCTCTCATTTCTTTCTGCTGAACTTAGTTTTTAATGATCCCCTTTTATCGGCCTTTTTGTGATACATGAAGGCTCACAGCTTTTGGATGGTGATGAGCATTAAGCCAGTGTGTTCCCCCTTCCAAGCTGTAAGAAACAGGACACTGAGGTAGCCTTCCTCTACTGTTTGCTAAATTAATGGTGCATGAAATTCTTTTCTTCTCTCCTAGAATTTGTGGAAGTTATTTCACTTCCAAAGAACGACTTACTGCAAAGAATTGATGGTAAGAGCTTTCTGTTGCATTCAGTGCCCTAATGTGAGCTTCAAGAAACCCTTAGCTTCTCTTCTCACAGCTCCTCGTGGCATTTCTCATCCTAGAATACTGTATCTTAAAAAGCTCTGAGAGGCTTGGCCAGGTAACAGAGTTAGCGATAGCATTAGGTGTTAGCATTCAGAACTCATGTCTGAATGCTATACATCTTCGTTTAAGTAAAGGACTTAAATTTCTGTAGAAGAGAAGTTTTAACAGCATCTCAATTTATTTTTTTTTATTATTTCAGAACTAGTAGCAGAAGAACATATTGCAGTGGATGCCAGGGTTTATACTTACGCATTGGCTCTGAAGCGTGCAGCAGAAAAACCGCTCCAAGTTCCTTTTATGAAGTTCTAAAACTAGATGATGAGAAATTTAGTTGAAAACTTCCCAGTTCAGATGGCTTAGAGGTATAACTCTTCTTGTAATAAAGGTCCTTTGCTTTACTTGTAGAACAAAATAAAGTATTTGTAGGAATGATTCTGATATTTTTATCTGGAATTATGTAACTGACAAAAAGCATTCCTTCTAACCGTTCAGTCTATCAAGCTTTGACAGAATAATCATAATAAAAATGCTGTTTAATTTTCAGAATGGCTCATTTCTCACTATATTCATCATTGCACTTACGTTTCAGCATAAGGAAGATGCTTAAGTAACTGTAGTTGGTGTTGTAACACCACCTGGGCAGGAAGAGGGCACTTCTGTCTTCTCCACATGCACAAGCAGTAGCATTTAAACAACTTCACGTCATTTTCTGAAGTAGGAGCAGCACCAGCTGCACAGGATGCAGTGTGCATGCTCTGGCTGCAGCACTTGAAACTGCAGTTTCAGGAACTTTTTTTTATGACTTAGACCTGAAGATGTTGCTTCCTTCTGCCAGCCCTAACCAAACTATCTGGAAAAGAGAAAATCAGTTGGTTTGATCTAAGAAAACAATGACTCTGACAACGATGATGACAGTTAACAACAGAAAACCAGCCAGTGGTGCAAACCAGAAGGGTGTAGGACCCAGCCAGGGGATTCTGTTTAAGGTATGGACTTACATACCCCCAGATAGCACAGCCTCACAGTTCTCCCTCTCCTAGGACACATCCTTGGCGGCCCCTTCGTTCAGTCTGACCACTTCCAGGCAAATCTTCAGCATATCTGTGTACAGTCAACTGCTTCTAATTATGTAAACAACCACCACTGCTTAAAGGTTCAGATTTAAGAGTTGTAATAAACATATGCTAATACCAAAGTCTTGCCTCTGAAATAAATTTGGATGAGCACGCATAATTAGAAAGGCTTTCCTAGCTTAGAAATGAAGCTGAAAACTTGCTTAAGATTTTCATACTTTCACAGACAACACAAAGTTACTTTCAAGTTGAGTGTGAGAGAAGACAGAAGAGATCAAACTGTGAAATCAAAGGGAAGAAGTCCTTGATTACAGCTGAGCAGACAAGCTCAGTGATTTTGAAGGGAGGAATGTGGAGATTTGTTTTTTAATTAAGGCTGCTGAAAACTGATCAAAATTATATTCTAGAAAGGATAAAGAGAAAAAAGGCAGCCTTCCAGACCTACCTCACTAACAAAGCATGTCAGAAATGATCAAAAACTGCAAATGAATTATATCTTGCACAGATAAAACACAGGAGAGAGCTTAATTAAATAAGTTTATTGTCTAACGTTTACAGTTGTTACATTGCCGCTCTAAAGTGCGACAACATAAATAAATTTTCAGCAG